CCCCCCCCTATACATTAATTAGTTATTCACTAAATCCAGGCTTTTAAATATAATTTTTTTCAGTTTCTCCGAGCCTTGAGGGTGTAGCACCTGATAGATTTGCTCTCCCTCGCCTATGTTTGTGTACAGCCTGACTCAGACACAGAAGTATCGCTTAGTGATATTTTATTTGCACCTAAATAGCAAAGAACATAGAAAGCGAAACATCAGTTCTCCCGTCCTCATAAACCGTATTGACCTTTACGCCTGAGCATTCTCTTTCTTCCCAATTCCCCCCCCCCTCCGACCCCTTTCCCTATTATTCTCGGCTTTCTCAGTCGAGTAGTCCTCTTGTCTCTCATTAGCCTTGGAAATATTATGAGTTTTATGGGGGATAATAATCCGCATTTGGCTATACTATTCAAATAGCTTTGTTTCGAATTAAAGCTACTTTCAGAGCAAATGGTGTTTAAGTGTGTGATAGTGAACATGTATAGTTATCATGTTCCCGCTGAGTCTTCAGGAGAAGATGACATTTTCTAGGGGTAGAGCAAATTTTATCACCAATTAATGATTTGTTAATTTATTTACCGTTTAACTGGCACTCATAACTTTGGTTCTAGAGAGTGATGAGTTAGGAGATAAGAGAATATGCTACCGAATGAATTAGATGCAACTAAATAAAGTGAGTCCGGGCTATATTTATTAAAAAAAGCGCACGATATGTGTATTGCACTTCCTGGCAATTTAATCACAAATAGCAATACAATATATGAAAATTAAATAAAAGTGCAATATTCCCGGTTACCCACTTATTAGCGAATTCTATTTATATTATATCGTATTGACTAAAGTGCTTAAGTTAAACTCAATGCAATTAGACTAGTTTAAATAAATAATGAGCACTAATTTAAACAAAAGTGGGTTGAAGAATTTATTTCTTTTGAACTAAGTGGTATCTATGTTTAAGCTTTCCTAATTTATATAAGTAGGTGATTTAAGTAGAAGCTTCGACAGTAGGAAAGTGTTAACATTCCCGTATACTTATCCATAATTCATAGGGATTACCGACCATTTTGCAATTAGTGGCCAATGAGGGGGCTAAACGTCCCCCCCCCATATGCCACAAGCTTCAGCAGCCATCAAACCATCTCCTCTGATGAGTCATATATGTGTATATATGTCGTCACTTTGTCTATGAAAATTTATTATGAATAAGTGGAAACTAAGTAGACAGTTATGGCTGTGGAAATCCACGGTTTTCATTACTATCAAATGGCGAGTTTACTGTCATAACACAATACTCAGAATTGTTACCTTAGAGCCTCTACTATTACTGTCAATGTTTCATAGTGTATCAAACACCTCTAGTTCGAGAGCAAAATTAAGGAAGCGTTTATGTTTAGTTTCTGCTCATTGAATCTGATAAAATTGCGTAAATTACCATAATTAAAATGTAAGCACTGAGCATATTTGTTAAAAGGTGGAGAAAACAAATTAGGGACATTTTAATTCCACAGATTCTCAGGGGTTCAATGTCTGATTTTTGCCTTGGCTTGATCTATTCCTCCAAGATATTCGACAATTAGATCTAATCAAAGTTTGTTTCTCATGGCACTATGGGACAAACTCCTCCAAATACCAGTTTTTTTATGAAAAGACCAATCGTGAAAACACAGTGAAGTGCAAGATTGGCTGTGTACTCAGCTATTTAACTATCTGATTCTTTCTTGGATCTTTAGGTCTTGACTAAAACGAAACACATCAAAGTTCGGTGAGGATCTCTTCATACACCGCAAGAAATTATTTATTTATTTCAAACGGCAGGCGTTTTGACAGTTATCATTAGCCCTTTAGCTGACTTCGGGTTTCATAGGGGGAAAGAACATCAGAGTAACAGAAAGTCGAGAGGTGTGGAACAGAAGAGTGATTTGCAAATGTAAAAGAGACAGACACAAAGGCAGAGAAAAGGTAGGATGAGTACTGTGAAAGTGGTCGAATATGGCATACAGTGGGGTGATGGCAGTTTGAAGTCAACTGTCGGTTAATAGACTTTTTGCCGTATGAGTATACGTTGCCCAGGGTGCACCACGTGGAGGTAAGTCTATCGTACACCCCCACGACCGCAAGAAATAAAATCACACTCTCTTCTGAGCTGCGAACACCCTGTCCTTATACAGGCTGTTTGTTTTGGCCAAATTATACAATGTATGCCATCATATACACATTATAGCTCCTTTACATTATGCTCTCAAATTGGGCTCAACAAGAATTAAGATTTTGACACCCATGAAACTATTCACCTTTTTATAGTACGAATGTAACTTCCGGAGGTGATCTACGAATGCTGACTTCAGTTCTTCGCCTTCAGGGTTTTAGCTTTTGGTAACTTAAATGAGCATTTAAGTTAGTAAATAAGATATGTGTATAAATATGGCCACCAATCCATATGAAAGAAGTTTCCATCATTTCACTAGATCAAATTAGTTAAAAGGACCAAATGCACGGGAAGACAAAAAATGTCAAAATAAAGATTCTCACAAAACGGAAGAAGAGGAGTTTATATTATTAGGTTAAGAAAATAATTATATATTAGTGAAAGAAGAAACGAGCAGTGGTAAAAGCAATACGAGGACAATAGGCAAGTGACAACCAGAGAGGGAGAAAAAGACAAATCCAAGACATTTAACTGCACTCAGCCTTTGGCTGCTCCATCTTCAAAGGAGCCAAATCCTCTTCTTTCACGTTAAAGAGTTCTCTAATCTTGGCATAGTCAGGATTCTCCGTTATCTTATCTTGTTTGAAGGAGTACAAAACATTCCCACCTGGGAAAAATAAAATTTTTACTTCAAACCACAAGAGATTGTAATAGGTAATGGCAAATATAAAGTACCTTTATCAATTACAAGAAGACCACCAGTTTGCCAGCCGTCTCCTTTAAGATTTCCATCAACCTTTTTCTCCTGAGATGGATTAATAGAAAGATCATCAAGGTTTAGCAAGAAAGTAAATTTTAAATCGACTTGGGAACAAGTTTTATACCTTTGTTTCATGAATAAGATTTCTTCCAGGACCAGACAAAAGTGACATAAAGCCAGAAAGCATTCCAACTCTTCCCAACTCAAGGGCATTATAGGTATCCTTCGCTTCATCCATGTAGAGTTCTAAAAATCGAATAACAAGCATAATAAATTAAGGCAGTAGCAATTTCAAACAGTACCTCCATCGAAAAATTTTCCAGCCTTGAATTCCTCGAGTCCATCTTTGTCATGTCCAATGGCGATCAAGCGAACTCCCTTACTCTGTAAGGGTTTCTTCATACGACTGAGCTCCAAAGTCTCTAAACGACAGAAAGCGCATCCGAAACGACGAAGAAGAGCGATAATGCAAGGTGAATTCTTAAAGAAAAAAGGGTGGAGGAAAATAATGATAAACAATTTTAAAGACAGTATTGTGTAAATTTACAGATAAATTACCTCCCAGAAAGTTTTAACCGTAAAACTTGACTGATCGACTGCACTTTTAACAACGCAGGCACCTAATTTCGTTATCCCAGCCGACATTGCCAATAATTCTCAATAAAATACAGCCCCAAATATTTGACGTTGATTTATCAAAGTCAAGGTCAGCAAACTAGTTCGTTTAGTAAAATGGTATTGAAACATAGTTAGCTAAACTGTACATGTCAAATTAACTTTTTATATTATTTTGACCGTTTTATTTGAATATAAGTTGAAATGTAGCGCCGTCGTAAAATAGCATATTTTTGATAATCTTTTTGGCAAAATATCACTGAAATGTGGTGCCATGATAGATATTATAGAAGAAAAGTAAATGAGGCAATGTAAATCTTGAAAGATCGATTTTCAGTCATCGAAAATTTTGATCAAAGTTAGTTGTTCTGGTTATATTGAAACTAATACCCCTACCACGTGTTATTAGAAAGCAAAATTACGAAAAATTGCAATGATCTCTGAATAAGAAGGCCTCTTAGTGAGCAAATAAGTATGATCAAAATGAAGCCTTTATATTTTATGATTGTGAACAAATGTATGAACGTATCTGGGGTTCTCCACAAAATTAAATTAATGGTAAGTATCCATGATTTAAATTTTTCATTTGAAAAATAATATTTTATTTTATCATGACCCCTTAAGTCTGTAATAAATTCCCTCTTAAGATACCTGTGTCTCTTTTAATATCGTGGAAAAGAGTCATAACATGACAACGAGAGTAGATTGATATTGTCTAAAAGGATTGTCCTACTTTATCCATAACTTTGAATTAATTTTGTTGTAAGTTATTCTTCAGTCACCTTAGATTGTCTCCGACCTTGACTGAGTAATGGAGTGGTTTCAAATCTCCTCATAAGCGCATGAATTTGCACTTCATATTTTTTATGCACAAGCACACGCTTACATATATGGGCACAAAAAATGAAATATTAATTCAAAATATTATAAATTTTATGCCATTTTAATTTGTCATGATATAGATGCATATTTTTGAAACATATAACTTTCTCTTTTTGTGAACGTGCATTTTCTGTTTCTCTATTCGTTTAACCTAGGAAGATTTACACAATTTTAGATCATGGCCAACTGGAAACCACTTACGACGTCTGAGTTGCGTCATTGTGACCGCTTCTGTTTCAATGATGGCGTGTGCATCGGTTGCATGCGAGATCCTCATGCAAAGGCCCAGTGTATTGGATGCACATGTCCGCAGCACCTTTGGACAGGTGAACGCTGTGAAATTCGCGTGGGTTACTTGGGTATGCGATCTACAGAGGATACACTCTACATTCTCACTGTTATCTTCGCTCTGCTTGCTATTCTCATGTCCATCTCGACAATATATTTCTATCTTAAAGGCCGTCGTTTCCGCCAAGATCCTTTTATCATTCCTGGTGATCCGACTATTCACTTGTCTATTCAGCCCCCTTCCGATTCTGACAAGCACTACGATATTCCCCAACCATTAGTTACGCCTGGAAATGCTTAAATGATAAATTCTTTGTAGTGCCCTGAAATTAATGTCTATTTTGATTATGCAATCCATTATTTTTAGAAATATAAAGCGAGTATATCTAGATTTATTTTGGTCAAATCTTTTCCCTTCCCGTCGGTGAATGAGAGTAAGCATATGTACTATGATTATGAATTCTTTGACATCTGAACATATAGTTCATTAGAACTGCGAATGAGTTTTATCGTGTTGACAAAAATGACAATGAGGATAAAATTGTAAATCTACGGTGACTTTCTTTTTGATACGGTGGCAGATATCTCCTCTTTTAATCAATATTTATCTAGTCGTCCCGCTTAGATTATGGGATACGTTATCGCTTTGTGCGTCATCGTATGCCTGCATGTCTGCTCGCCAGGATTGGGAGGTGCGGCCGTACAACTCTGTTTGCAGCGACCGTACAAACAGTTACCAATCCTCAACCTCTGTTTAACCTAATCCCCCATCCTGATCATGATTAGGACCCCTACGTGTACACGTTATCCGCAATATACTCACTGAATAAACGTGGTCCGTGCTACACGTCTATTTCCCTTATAGCTGGGCTATAGCTTAGCTGGTTCTGGGAGTCTAGCTAGATGTAGGAGAATCTGCCATAGAGATTTCTGAGTCAGTCAGGCTTTACTAGCGTAGCAATCCGCTACAAGATATTATAATTTCCACAGTATCTTTTGAGCAATTTGGCACTGAAAACAGCGGTGTCATTTAAAGTGCCTGATTTATGTCTTACATACGTATAAGCGTTTTTCATTTCTGGGTGCAAGCCTGAAGCATACTTTTGAACTTTACAGACTCCGTGGTAGACTGTTACCTATTTTTTCGCACACAGAAAAGGTAAAGTGGCGGTTAAGATTTTAATCATAATAGTCCCTTTGAATCGCGATTTAATAATGGCTTTAATAACGTGATAATAAAAAGGCCATCAAATGAATTTCCAAGCAGACCTGTTTTTAACTTTGTAACCTCTATTTGTCCTTCACGAAAAGAATGACTGCATAACTGTAAGACACCGCTTTACATTTCAGTGTAAAAATCCATATTACAGTACTGAAGAAAAGAGATTTTGAAGATAAGATCAGAGTAACAAGACCTATCAAGAAAATTGCTCTTTCATTTAATGTTTATTTTATTTATTTATTGTAATTCATTTTTCTCAATTAAATTTTATGCGGACAAATTTCTTAGCATCACTGTCAGTAATGCGTTCCATGTTTCCTTAACGGGGGTGTGGGGTAGACTTACCTCCTCGTGGTACACCCTGGGAAACGTATAATCATACGGCAAAAAAGTCCATTAACCGGCAGTTGACTTCTGACTTTAAAATACCATCACCCTACTATATGTTGACTTCTGACTTTAAAATACCATCACCCTACTATATGTTATATTCGACCCCTACCACAGTACTCATCTTACCCTTTCTGAGCTTTGGTGTTCGTCTGTTTCTTTTACATCTGTGAATCACTCTTCTGTTTTCCCTTCCGAATTCTTCTCATTTCGATGTCCCGCCTCCCCTCTGTGAAGCCCGAAGTCAACTAAAGGGCTAATGATAACTATCAAAACGCCTGCCATTTGTTGTAAATAAATAAAATAAATGCTTCCTTAACGTGGTTGTTCGATTTGCATCTGTAACTAGCGCAATTTCTAAGAACGCACAATTGCCAATTGCCTTTGGAAAGAGGAGATTGTTGAGTCCACAGCTCTGTCAGGCCTGAACAAAGAAATTTCATGCGCCCTCGGATAGACTCGAATGTGATGCCGTGCTACTTGGCGTGAAGGGAGCAAGTGGGGTCGTGGGCACAGAGACCTCTCAGCCAACTACCAATAACTATTACCTACATTGTTTAACAAATCCATCATTGTATTTTAATGTTCAAGCTCTTTAATAGACATGCATCTAAAATAAGCGTATTCCACACTGTTCGTCTGCGTCTGTTTCATGGATATTGCAAAGTGGATCTTGCCATAGTGATTACTGAGCATAAGTTAATGTTTATTAGTGAAGCAATCCGTTACAAGATCGTTACAGTTCAAAAGAATAGCACTGAGGCTGCGAAACCAATGACGGAATGACAATACAAGCAAGGATATGGAGTTCTGCTGATTATAAATAAATATTTTGTGATGGTTTAAATAAGTTTCATGAAAAATCAATGAAAAAATCATATTGCAGAATTGACGATTAGATCTACTCAGTTAAGTTGATAGGCGAAACGGGTGAGGGAACGAAAATGAGATCACTGCATCTAAACATCTGTGTTTAGAATGTCGGAACTTGCCCATTTGGTACCAAAATAAATTTTATTTCAAGAAATTAAGGCCCCCTAGGCAAGTTATCTAATCTTATTAGCAAGTTACACCATTTTAACCAATTATTAAATATATACAATGACGCTATCAGGTTCATAAGAATTGAATTGAGTTAAAAACAATTTAGTCCACAAAAATAGCTTCAAATGGAAAAAATCACTGATGCCATAATCATCTTAATTGAAAGCCTTTTTTCAATATAACACCATGAAACGAATCAAGAATTTGAAAATATAAGTATATGTTTAAATTTTGTGAAAAAAGTTTAAAAGTTGTAGGGTTAATTTCTATTGCGAAAGAATTATTTGTATCTATTCGACAAACTAGAAATAATATACTATTACCATTTATTTATAGTACTATTTATTTTAATCGATTGGTGTCAATTTATTTAGGATTGATTTAATTAATTGATAGGATATCCAAGGTCTTCGTAAATGACAGGGGCACAAAGCTTGATCAAAATTAGCCGTTGAAAATTAACTTAAAATGACAACTATTAATCCTGTCTACGTTACAACTATTACCATAAGCGATTTCCGAGCAAACTTTCCTAGATGTTTGCTAGCCTATTAAAAATTTTTAATGTAAGTAAAGCATAATCTCCAGGGTCATAAGATCCAATGGGACTAAATGGAAACTTGAAGTAACTCGTGTGTACGCCGGTCGTAATTGTCAGTATGTGACTGATAAAACAAAATAAACAAGTCAATTTTTCTAATTGCATATTATTATTCCCACATATATTATGCAATTATAAAAATGAACTCTATGACTTCCTTTTGGTCTTAATCTATTCTAAGAATTTATAGTGACTTAGTGCCAATCAATACAGATAAACTAACTTGAGTTTTTGAAAATATGGGCGTCAATAAAACCACAAAGAAATTCTGGCCTTAATTTTCAGAGCGTGAATACAGAATATCTGTAAAACTTGCTTTGATATTTCTATTCCTTTCTTACATTTTATTTCAAGTTAAAAATATAGATTTTGACCATGAATATTTTATAATACATACTAAACCAGCTTCTAAATGGATTGAATATTTAGGTATTTATTAGATTTTCAATTAAATTTCTCTTTGTTGCCTCGGAAATAAAATACTACCCTAAATTATAGCAGTTGTAATACAAAAGCCAAATGTTTTTTAAATAATTGAATTTACTATTTTTATGCATAAATTTAAATTTTGCTTGGAAATTAAGAAGTAATCGGCTTTAAATCATTTGCGTTTAAGACTTTCGATTCATATCGTTAGCGCGCGCAATAAATATTTTTGTGGTTAACGGGAATTTGATATGATGGCTGTTACGTCCGAACACGTTGACAGCGTGATACAAGGTTAGTATCTTCTTCTATTGTCATTAGGATACAATTTTACGAATACATAATTCTGTTCCTCTACTTAAATGAACAATAGTGTGAGTACTAATTGCTGTCATATTAATTCGAATTAATTAAATTTATTCCAGTATAAGCCGTAAATAGGTTTAACTTATATTAATAATTATTTACAATATTGAACTTTATGTTGTTAGCTTATTTTTCATCTTATCTGCAGATAATGATTCTCATCTGAAGTCAAGTGAAGAGGCTCTTACTCATCTGGAGGAGGTTATATCTCATGTCGTTTCCGAAGCCATTGAATATGCTGATAAACCCCCGGAAGAGCGAACTCTTCCAGCCCTAGTTAGAAAATCGGCCACCCAACCTCGAAGGCCTAATCCAACTCCTCCATATGGGCAAGTGAATATTCCAAACAACGGAGCGCAAATGATGGGCTTTAATCATATGGGTGCTTATGGATTTCCTCAGGTTCAGGGCCAACTACATTGCAATCCTAGATTTACAAGTAAGCTGCAACATTGATACATTTATTTTAATTTTTAAGTGCCACCTGGAACGACTGTTATCCAGCAAACACCTCAGCGTTTCATGCCACAATACAACGGCATTCAGACGAATCAATATCACGCTCAGAACGCCCAATTACAACAACAGTATGCACAAGCCGCCCAATTTCAAATTCAGCAACAACAGCAGTATCAATTGCATTTACAACAGCAACAGGTAATCGCAATTTTTTTTTAAATTTTGCTCATGATTTTAGATTTAAAATATTCTAAACAATAGAAACACTGGAATTAATAGGTTTTTAGAATTTACAGGTTTTAGTGGTTTTATATCTATTAGCTTTGACCGAGGTCTTGTCCTTCGTTTTACCAGTCTTACTGTCTTGAGTCTAATAAGTCATTATTTGAAGTCAATCTTCGGCGTGTATCGTAGGCTTTCTGTTTCCTATTTTTTTGCCACAAAATTTTATTTGAACTAACAATGTTCATTATATTTGCATCATTTCTCTTTGTACACATCTCGATTACTGTGTTTCCTTTTCTATTAAGCATTTGTTAGAAGTTATACATGTGGTGCCTCTATTCTTCTCATGTGTGCACCATGGAAGAATGGCACACACTTGTCCCAAATCATTCTTGCCTTTTTTCTTTAAATACACACTGAATGTGGGTGCTGCCTGGGGTGTGATAAATTTACTCCTCGCCGCGACACTCTGGGAAGAGACGGTTTTGTGCGTTCACGCACCGCGTCTGTCACACAGAGTAATTCGCATTCGGGGACGCGTGTTCCCATCACCCTGTAGCCTCCAGCTCTCACGCTTCGTGCTGACGTATTACCCGAGGTCGTACACCGCACTTCGCAGCGATATGGCTTTAGCCGTGCGTCCGTTCACATCTGATGTTGTTTTATCGATCGCGTACCTGTGTGTGGGCGTGTGCGTTGATTAGCACGCGTTCTTACGTCTTACAGGCCACTTGGATGTGTGCGCATGTGCTTGCGTGCTTACATACCTCTTGCGCACGTATGGCCAAGCCGCTTACAGCCCTTGTACGTGTACGCGCGTCTCAAGCTGCTAGACTTTAAGCTGAGATGCCCAGCCACACGTATGAGTGCGGCCGACGTGAATAATTCTCTTAGTCACCCGTGTCTGTGTGCAAAAGTGTGCGTTCGCTATTTGGTGCTTTGTGTCGCCAAGGCACCGGTTCCTTGTGATATCTGATTCTAATGCAACAGAGCTAGAATCCTGCTTATAATTGCACGGCTTGCTGGCTCCTGACATTTTGTTCTTGCCTCTTTTACATAGATGGAGGTCTTCACGAAGGCAGTCAATTCCATTTATTAATTTAACAATTAGCGTCTAATATTCCAATTACCGAAATGAGTAAAGCTAACGAAATTCGTTATCGTTGCTTTAATATTATGGCTGCATTAATCTTTCATGGTTTATTTGCAATCATTTGCTTATTTATGAAGCTAATATGCCTTATAACATTGGCGGGGAAGGTGGTCTAATTTTTTAATTTTGGGGTCTCTTGTTCGGTTCAACTGAGAGCCCTTTTTATTTATTGAGGTAGTCTATCCTCATCTTTCGCAATTTAATTATATTAAAAGTCAACCAAAACAAACGGCATCTAGAGTTAAAAATGATATCCTAAAATGTGTTAGTTTGGTAACATTTTGCAGCTCTAAAATTTGTATCTCATATCTAATAGAACCATAGAACGAAAGACCACTAACCTATATATTTAATTTCTTACGAGCACTGCTTTTCATGGATAAACTTCATTTTGTTTTAATCTCATTTAATAAAAAGATTTCTACCCAACTCGCACCTTTCATCGCCAATCGCCCGTTTATTTATAAAGGTGTATGGGGGTATATACGCTGCATTCAATAATGCCAGGCTTTATAACCTTTGTTGTTTATTTAAAATTCTTCGAATGCCACCGTGGACATGGTATCTACCTCTTCACTTACTAAATCGCTGTCTTTTAGTTAATATTCTAATTGCTTATTGCTTGCTCGATTGTTTTTTTGTAGTTGTTTTAATATTTATATGTAATTTTTTGTATGATTTCTTTTGTGCTCGAATCGGGCAAAGCTATTAACATAAAAATTTAATTATCTAGAGAATGAATGTACACAGCTTCGTTTTGATTATCGAGGAGTTCCATACCTGGATGGGTTACTCTAAACGATGCCTTCGTTCCTATTTAATGTAAATTTAATTCTCTCTAAACTGCATGTCAGAATGTGTCTACGAGACATTGCTAGTTTTGTGATATCGTTTAAAATGCGCGGAGTTAGCATACGTAAAGATATTTACCGAAATATCGCATTTTCGTGGTTGTGTCTGTGTTTTCTTCTTATTGATGAAGGAGTCTCATGTTCCATAATTCCATTCTCCTATCCAAAATTATGCGCTTATTGACTATTATTTCGTTTTCTTCTCTCGATCACCTTGACTACATGTGTAGAAAATCCAAGAGAAGTTAACAGAGCAATGCACCATGACAATATTTGGCTGACCTCGCACCAGTCACCGCGGTGATTAGTGTCCTTGTCTCATTTTTGAGATTATTTGCCACCTAAAAAGTTGTTGCCATCAAGATAAAGAGTGACTGGTTGTGAGTTCTTAATTCATTATATGCACTTGACACTTCTATTTTTGGTGTAGAAGTGTCTCGTATGGTCTTCCCTACCAAAGTTGCCGGTTATTGGGGTTCAGTGGCTTTGGAACTCACTAGTAAAAAACACATAATTAAATTCTTATTCTCTTTTATAGGCCCTAGCGGTGGCTCAACAGCAGCAACAGCAACAGCAAGTCCAAGCCCAACAGCAACAAGCTCAGCAAGCTGCACAGGCTCAACAGATGCAAATGTATGCGGCAGCAGGTGCTGGTGCTGGAGCCTCTTTTACCGTAGTTCCTCCCACTGCCGGTGCTCCAACAGTGGCTACCGTCACTCAAGCAGCACTAGCAACTAACCCCCAAGCAGCCGCATTAGGAGTAGCAACAGCAGCGGTCCCCTCCCAACTTCCCTCTGCTGCTGCGACCGTCTCGCCTCTGGCTACCGTTCAACAGCAGCAAGTCCAACAAGCCCAACAGCAACATTCCCTCACTCCCCAACAGATCCATCAACTCTCTGCGGCCTACGCTGCGGCTCATCAACTTCCGGGTAAGTTGAATCTTTTATGTAGTAGGCAGTGTAGGTAAGTGCTCTCCGAAATATGAATCTATTTCAAACTAACGTATGGTTCGAGTCAAATTTTGGCCAAGTATCATCCGGTAGTAAGCTTTGGTCCCTCTACCTTTGGCTCTGGAAGAGGTCTTGTTCGGATTCAGACTTAACGTAAACAAATGCATCGAAGTAATTAGTCATTAATTTAATAGGGCATTTGCACTACCTCTATGCCTTTTTGAATTTTAGATGCGTCTTGTGACCTCTGTAATTTATTCGCTATACTTTTATTGTATGAAAGTGCTTTATCATTGTAATATTTAATAATTATGAAATATTATACAATTAAGAACATCCAGTGGAAAATGTTTTGCTTTTTTATTGGGTTATTGTCAGGAATTAGCTTTTCTTCACTCCCTCTTCAGAATCAGTGAAGGGTCAAATGAGTGTTGAAAATGCTTTGAATATTTCTTGTTCACAGGGTTTTTTGAAATCCCAGACAAGTTTGTCCTGTTACTGGTTCGGTTACATGTGTATTTTTCTCTGAAAACGGTCTGGATTGAATGATTTAGTGAAAACGCTCTGATCCAATAGCAAGACAAGTGTGTATCAAGTATCGAAGTAGAATTTCTGTTTGGTCGAAATGGGCAACCGTTGAAGTTCAATTTTATCTCCCCTTTTATCGTTGGGGTTTACAGAGTGCGTGACCATCTTGTCAAAATCCAACAAGACCATTTTTTTCTCTCTGAAATACATGATCTGTAATGCCCTAGAGTTTCTCCTTTGGGCTTATCACTAAACTTAAAGCATGACAACCGCGGTTCCTCGACATTAAACAAAAAAAATATGAGTGGTATTTGTTTTCGAGAAAATGTTTAAATTCAATTTCTTAACCCTTCTGGCCGTATGGTTCTCTTTCAAAATAAGCTCTATTGATACTAGACTCATAACAGAAGGGGCTATTGCAGTTTGAAAAATGTTCAATACGTGTCTATAGCCTTCGCCTGATACACCACACGTTGGCGGTATCAGTCTGCTATGTGGTGATGCGAGTGTGTTTGGGTACACATTTCAAAGAATAATTCGAGTGTTAAATAGTTAAGAAAGCAAGTCGCGACCCTTTAACATAGAAGGTAGTGATTTGTAAAGAAGCTTTGGAGTCCTTTCACTGCGACCTTCTCCTTTCATTGATAATTAGCTCCATTTCCTTCAAGTTATTCTTAAAAATAATGTAGGGCTGGGATAAATTTTGTTATTGCCGAGTAAATTTTTTTGATAATAATTTAGTGCCCACCTGCAATTCGTATCAGGCACATCTTTGGTCCAATAATCAACGAGTGAAGTGTTCATTGGTGCCATTTCAGATAAGAAGATTTAGCTGCTATTGTTAATTTATTCGTTTAAAAAATGTTGTGGTTTTTCACTCATCCGCCGTTTAGCTGTGTTAGCTGCCATTCTTAATACCTCTCACTTAGGAATATGGTCTTGTCCGTATATCCAATTCCTTTATTTCTTCACTTTTCAAATATGATACAGACCTTTGCTCCAGTCTAATTTGTAGAATCCTCTATCCGCTTTTCTTATCGGTTTTAAATTCTATCTTTTGTTCGCTCTCAAGAACGTAGGTACGCTCTCCCCCCCCCCCCCCCCCCCCCTAATCCCCATTTGTCATCAACAGGGGAATTTAGTTGCTTCTAGCCAATAATGGTCTTGAGTTGTAGTTGTTTTTTTTTGTTGTGCAGTAACGTTTAAAGAGGCGTAGTAGTGGTTTGAATGTCAGAATATGTAAGTGGACATTCTTTTAAACCCAGCTTATCTTGTAGGTATGATCCAGACCTTCACACCAACTCAGCAGCAGCAGATCCAACAGCAACAACAACAACAACAACAACAAGCTCAGCAGACCCAGCAGCAGCAGATGAATGTAGCGGCTCAGCAGCAGCAAAGGTGGACGGCTTCAACGACGCCAAATGTTTACCAGCAGCAGACACAGCCCTCAAATCCAACGGATGCACAGCAACAGCAACAGCAATTCCTTCATGCACAGCAGGTACAGGCTGCTCAAGTTCAGGTTAGCGGTCCATGAATGTGTTCCTTTTTCTCTTTTTTTTAAACTTGTCCTCAAGAGTAATTTTGGGGTTGTATCTTCCCTTTATTGCCTTACACTCGCGAAAATGGCTGACCAATGCTCTCTCAATAGTGGGATGTGTTAGTGTTTTTTGTCATAGAAGAAAATGACGTCAATTAAAGTGGATTTATGTTAATTAAAGGCTATTATAGCATGTTTATTACGGTATTAAATTTAGAATTTAAATTTGGAGCACCAGGTCACACTATATTTGAGGAAACTTTGAAGCGGTTAATCTGCATCTCTGCCAAATTAAAGGTCGTGAGCTCGATACGCATTAACGAGATGGCCAACTGTGCCCGCTTAATTTATCTAACACAGTGGTTTTCGGATTGTAAGTTTCTGAATCATAAAGGCGCCAGAATGTTACTTCTCTTTCCTCGACAAAAACACTGTTTCCAATTGAGTCTTGGATGTTCTTTTGGGAAATTTAAAGTCTTCAGCCGTATCTAAGACATGTCTAATAATAATTTATCTAACAACTACGTGCACTTCAAAATGTCTATACCATTGATTGGGCGGGGGGGGGTCTTTTATTTTAATGTTCCCTTAATGGTAAAATATTATTTCAAATGGCGGGCTTTATGATACTTCTCATTAGCCCTTTAGCTGACTTCGGGCTTCACAGAGGGAAGTATTAGCCCTTTAGTTGACTTCAGGCTTCACAGAGGGGAAGTATTAGCCCTTTAGCTGACTTCGGGCTTCACAGAGGGAAGGAGGAACATCCAAGTGAGAAAAAGTGGAGAGGGTGACAGAAGAGTGATTCACAGATGTAACAGAAACAGACAGACAGACAAAAAGGCAGAGAAAAGGTAGGATAAGTACAGTAGTGATGGAATAAGACATACAGTGGGGTCATGGTAGTTTGAAGTCAGAAATCGACCGTCGGTTTATAGACTTTTGCCGTGTTAGAATACATTGCCCGGGGTGTACCGCGTGGAGGTAAGTCTATCGCACACCCCTAATGGTAGAATATGCAATGTAAGGCAGACGTTATCAGATTGGCAAATGAAAGAGGTAGTCTTTGATCATCCTATCCTTTAACTGTCCTTTTCATGATAAAATGGATGTGCTGGGACTGCCTACTGTTATCCTTATTTCTTAATTTAGTCCTTTTTTGCATAAAGTTGCCTTAGTGGCAAACTGGTAAGCCATCGTGAATCCCCCAAACCTGTTATGACAGGTTGTGTTATTTTGGCCTCAATGACTTATTCTTACGTTTAAACTATGGTCGTTATTTCAATGAGGTCAACTGAATTGGTAAACACGTACCGCTTTGGTGGCCATTGGGTACTCCATTATAATTTTGATATTTAAGTAAACATTAAAGCAGGCGTTCAATCGTGTAATCTAGTTCAATCATACTCATTAAACAGGTGGTACTAAAGAACGACCTATGACCAAGTGAAGGCAGTGTTACCAACGCTTAAGTCGTCGATTTGAGCCGTTTTTTGGTTGGGGAGCTCGCGTATTACAACCCCCATTGGCCAGAATTAATCAATGCGATTATCCACCAATAGACATTGATCTCGTGACCTCGCCATTTTAATCGTCCTGACCTTTTTGCCTTAACTTCTTTATGATCTTTTAACAGGTGACTCTACTATTTGCAAACTAGTAAGTTATATAGGAAAATGTTACATATTAGTTCGTTCTTTGAATTGTTAATCCACTTGCCTTCGTGTTCCTCCGATTTTTAAAGCTGCTCACTCTCTGTTGGAGTCATTCTAACCTGAGCTTACATTCACCTTCTTTCTATATGTTAGGCTCATGCACAAGCAACGGCCCAGCAACAATATCTCCAAGCCCAAGTGCAACAGCAATTACACTCTCAACAACAGCAGCAGCAGCAGCAACAGAACGTCTCAAATCACCATAATTTTGATTAATGAGATCAGTAGGGGTCGTCTGCATCTAGTCTGGGAAGACCAGTGTCTCGGACTTTCCTGTTGTATTGCATTTCATACAAAAAGTCGCCATCAAAATATCCTCTTCCCTTCACCAACTCAGAGAGAAAGATACGCCTTCTTACAAATGAAAACTGCGATTTTTTTACTCTTGTTGTCTTGTGTATGCTCCCTTGCTCCTTTTAACCCCTCCTCCCCTCCCCCAGCTCACTCATATTTGTCTGTGTAAATTATTTTCATTCCTTGTATACCTCATTTTGTCCTGGTCGACAATGGTGCCTTTCTTAAATCCTCCACACTACTAGATTCCTAATCCAATTTCACTGAATGAATATGCAGTAGCAGCTTATGGAAGGTCATCGATTGAACCCCTCCTCTTACGTAATCATGTGCACAATTCAACACGATGCCTTTTGTAAATTAGCTTGTATTCCCCTCTGATTCCTTCTCATACTTTAAATCAGTAGAAGCGCTTCAACAGTCCTCCATCTTCTATCCTTGGTGTCTTGCCGTTTTCTTCTCTACCATCCTCTTTTCTATCGACGATTGCATTTATCTATGGTAGTATATATATATATAATGCATATACATACTTTACTGTCTATACAATGAATTATGTGACGAGCTCTGCTTCGTGTGGCATACACGAGCGTCTGCAATTTGAGACACCTCTTCCCTCCTCCTCCTTGATAACAATTTTACCTCACCCCTCCCCCCCATTCTCTTCCACTTCTACTTCCCACCCCCATTTTTAAAGGTCTATCATGTAGATCAAAAATTCGAAAATGTGGTTACTTCGTGGTGTATTGTTTTTGATCTGCTAATTCAGTTACGATTCGATTTGCTACGACGGCTATTGCTGCGATGTATTTATATAAAATGGCAGGCGTTTTTGCAGTTGTCTATAGCCCTTTAGTTGACTTCAGGCTTCACAGAAGGGAAGGAACATCAAAGTGGACGAAAGTGGAGAGGGAGGGGGGGGGGAACAGAAGAATGTTTCAAAGGTATAAAGGAGGTAGACACAAAGGTAAAAAAGGTGAGGTGAGTACTGTAAAGTAGTCGAATCTGACGTACAGTGGGGTGATAGTAGTTTGAAGTCAAGTCAACTATCGGTTAGTTGGCTTTGCCGTATTAGTATACGTTGTCCAGGGTGTACCACGTGGAGGTAAGTCCACTGCACACCCGATTGCTGCAATGTATTGTGAACTAAATGACCAAGAGAATGAGGAGAGAAAACCTACCGAATAGATTAAGCGCATCGCATGAACTGCCAATTGTCCGTCTAGGTAGACGTTTGCCAGTACTCCGTTTAGAGTAAGTCACCGTGGTTTGCCTGCTTAGACCGACCCTTTTCTCGTGACCGCGTTTGGGTACTCTACTCAACGATGAATTCAATGAGCCCCCGGTGTCCGGACTAGCAAGAGGGATGTTGGTGGATGATTGTTGCAGCCTTTTTCTTTAAGTGTGTTTGTAAGGTTTTCTTGAGGTATGTTGGTGCAAGGCGGTTGGAGATTAATACTTGGGTAACATTTTTTGCTATTTTGAAACAAAAGTAAGTCCAACATGTTCGTAGAAACTTAATAAGTTGTCTATGGCTAAAAGTTAATAAATGAAATAAAGCGTGGTAGAGAAGCTAGTACTTATTTGTGAACTTTTGAAGAGAAGTACACATATAACAAGAAATTTGCAATGTCTCTGAGTTGCGTTACAGAGAGAGCGTGTGTATACTAATTGAGGTCGGTAGCCTCGATATGACCGGATTTGAACGGATCTCCTTAAGATTGATATATGAAATTTATACCTTTATTTATTTATATCAAATGGCAGGCGTTTTGATAGTTATCATTAGCCCTGGAGCTGACTTCGGGGCTTCACAGAGAGGAGATGGAACATCAAAGTGGCAAAAAGTCGTGAGGGGGAACAGAAGAGTGATTCACAGATGTAAAGAGACAGACAGACACAAAGGCATAAAATAGGTAAGATGAGTACGGTGAAAGGAGTCGAATATGACAAATAGTTGGACCATAGTAGTTTGAAGTCAGAAGTCAACTGCCGATCA